CGTCCATGACTTTGTCACCTCCTCATGCACCTCCCGGGAGAAAGGACCTGGGGCAGAACGTGGATGTGAACCATGCTCCGTGCTCCGAACCCAGGGACCAATCATCTAGTGGTCGACCGATTGATTGGCCAGCCGATTAATTGGGCCGATTTTTGACATTTTTTAATTAATCGGCATCGGCCGATTGTGCTGCAAATTAGGCCGATTTATAGGCAGGCACATCTGTGGGCAGCTAAGCATTGTTGTGGAATGCCATACCGGAGAATCTCTCTCCCTCTGGCTGCGTGAGACACACAGCTTCAGCTAACGATGGCAGGGGAAAACAGGCCATTTCGACATAATTACGTTTTACCCTACTGGAATTGATGCCGGAAAGTAATCATATTCATAAGTGCAACAAGTAATTTGCATGTAAACGCAGAAACACGTTCCATTCAGACGAACCTTCTGGGCTGGCTAAAACGTGCATGTTAACTTTCCTCATGAAATGTGTCTGTGGGTCCGACAATAGCCTCCACGATCTCATCGCTCGTGGCCAGTGCGCTCATAAGCAGCTATGATCAGCAGGCTGTGTAATATGTGTGAACTTTCATTTTTGTTATCACTTAGATTATGGCCATATTTGACTTATAGCAGTGTCCAGTGTTTCCCATACATTGAGTTATTTGTGGCGGTTCGTCACAATATCAAAACTGACCGCCACAAATAGATTTTCCAAAAGGCTTATACTTGGTTGAATAAACTGAGCACTGCACGCTTCAAAATTAAAATGCAGCGCCGGTGTTTTTATATGAATATATCTTTTTTTAAAAACGGCCGTCTTCAGAAAAGCTTTGATGTCATTTTCATTTCGTCTTTCCTGTAATGCCTGATAAAGTAGCGTTTGGGAGCGCAGCGCTGATTCGATTACAGCCGTTACCAGGGAAACCGCTATGTCTCCCGCTCCAACAGCGCCTCCTGCTGGCAGAGAATCAATTTGCATTTGCAAGTCTGTGGGAAACACTGGTGTGTCAACAAACTAAAACAAAAAGCATGCTTCAGAACTGTTTTGAGAAGGTGCTTAAGTTTTGAGCCATGTATTATTACTACAAAACTGACCGCCACAAATAGATTTTCCAAAAGGCTTATACTTGGTTGAATAAACTGAGCACTGCACGCTTCAAAATTAAAATGCAGCGCCGGTGTTTTTATATGAATATATCTTTTTTTAAAAACGGCCGTCTTCAGAAAAGCTTTGATGTCATTTTCATTTCGTCTTTCCTGTAATGCCTGATAAAGTAGCGTTTGGGAGCGCAGCGCTGATTCGATTACAGCCGTTACCAGGGAAACCGCTATGTCTCCCGCTCCAACAGCGCCTCCTGCTGGCAGAGAATCAATTTGCATTTGCAAGTCTGTGGGAAACACTGGTGTGTCAACAAACTAAAACAAAAAGCATGCTTCAGAACTGTTTTGAGAAGGTGCTTAAGTTTTGAGCCATGTATTATTACTATGAATTAGGCTACTACTACTACTACTATTACTATCTTGTGCCCAGCAATAATCATTTACTCAAACTCTCTGTTATGAGTGGAAGAGGGGGAAAAAATCAGCCAAACATATCGGCCAAAAAAATCGGCATCATATTTTCTAAATATCGGCATCGGCCAGAGTAAAACCCATATCAGATGACCTCTACAATCATCAAAAATCTGATGAGTGGATGCACATGTCACCTTATATACCTGTATGCACGGGGACTGGCTCAGCATGCAAAATCCACTAGCCAAATTTCATTAGTGTTTTCTCTTAATCAGGGATGACTGGGGGCTCCTGAGTAAACCCCTAATGTCATCACGACATAACTCATAGTGATTGACAGAAAGGGAACCACTGATCTAATGCATGATGTTAAAATTAAAACTTATATCTGTTAACATTAGTCAAGACAATTATGTTTTATTAACTAACATTAACAAAGATGAATAAATGCTATTCGAAAATATATATTCCTTATTGTTGTTTCATGCTGGTAAATGCATTCTAATACTAAAATCTATCTATATCTAATACTAAAAAATGAGACCTTGTTGTAATGTGTTAAATGCTAACATTATTGTTAATGCTAACATTAACTGCATTAGTAAACACAAACTAACAAAACATGGTTTTGTACAATGTTTATTTTTCATGTTTAGTGTTCATTTATAACATTTACCAAGACTCAAACAGTAAAGCAGAGTTAAGAGCATTATTCTCTCACTGATAAATGAAAAGATGAACAAAATTAGCCAGCATATGATGTGAAGATGAGCAAAGTGTGTTTGCTAATGCATTCACGTTAGAGTCTAGATCTGATTTTGTCACTGATTGAACATGTTATTTGACTGACTGTTCAAACGCTGATGTGTGTGTGTGTGTGTGTTTGTCAGGGAGCGCAGCGTGAATGTGACGGAGGCCGAGAGTCTGCAGCTGATGGTCAATAATCTCAGACCCGAGGCCACTTACTCCTTCAGGGTGGTGGCGTATAATGAGCAGGGCCCCGGAGAGAGCTCAGAGGCCATCCGACTGTCCACGCAACCCGAGCGTAAGAGTCGCACTGAACTCAAAATATACACCACAACATGTAATGTCTGGAGAACTTGTGGAGACCTCTCAGTCACTCTGAGAGGAATGAAAGTCAAGTGTGTTTGCTGATTGTGATGATGCTGCAGATCTCTGTAAATGTCAGCAGTCCTGTGCAGATGTTTGAAACATACCATAATGCTCTATTTCCTCCTGAAGACACACAGAGGAGCAGCGTGAAAGATTTCATTATATTATAACACACACACACACACACACACACACACACACACACACACACAAAACACAAACACACACACACACACACCCAACACTCTCACACACTCACACACACACTCTCACACACTCACACACACACACACACACACACTCACTCACTCAAGCTCTTTAACCTTTCTAATGGAGAGTGAGTGCTGAGATTGAGCCGTCTGACCTTTCCTGTCCAGATTGCAGCTCTTTCTCACAAACAGCCAGAAAGAAAAACACACTTCAGCTCTGAAATATGAATATGATGTAAATGTAGAGCTCATCTGCATACAGACCGTTTCAGATGTGTTATCTGTTATCTCACGGCACTGACACTCATCTCAGGTGTTCAGTATCTGAAACAGGGTTATTGTCCTGAACTGAAAAACATAAAAAATCACTACTCATCAAAAATAAATAAATAAATAAAAACGTATTTTATTTCAGCTACATGTCAACATTTCTTGTTTTCATTTAGTTTAAGTTGAAGTTCTAAAATAATTCAAACTAAATAAACAAAAATGAAAAGCTGAAACTTAAAAATTATATCGGCATATTTTAAAAAAAGAAATATAAAATAAAATAAAAATGACTAAAACACCCAACAAAAAATACTAAAACATTTTATAGTAGTTTTTAAAAAGTAATTTAAATTTCTTATTGTTTAAATTAGCTTTTATTTTTATATTTTCTGTTTTTAATTTTAGCTAGTTTTAGTATTTTTGTTGTTTTTGCCTTTTTTTAATTATTTCTTTGTCTATATAGTTTTTTTTCGGTAGCACTTTATTTTAAGGTTACACATGTTACGTGTACTTACTATTATAATAACAATAAATTATCCATAAGTACATGCAAGTAACCCTGAATCAAAACCTAATCCTAACCCTAACCATACAGTAAGTACATGTAGTTCATTAAAAAGTACTCAGTACTTAAATGTGTAATTACACTGTAACAAGGACACCTTAAAATAAAGTGTAACCGTTTTTTCCCCAAGTCTGTTTGTTTTTAAGTACAAAAGGTGTTAACTGTAACAAAGCATAGATAATATCAGCAAAATCAAACAAATGGAGCTGATGTAGCTTACGTTTTCTGATGTTAAAGCCGTATGCCGTCTGTTCGTTCATCTCTTGCATTTCTCTGTAGCCTGAAGGCAAACTGTTTTAGCAGCATCTCAATGCTGCAGCGGTGTTTGAATGCTAAAGCGTGTTATATTTCCCAGCAGCCCTTCTCATTAGCTGTCTAACATCAGGCTATTGGTTTATGTGTTAACCTCAGGATTGTGTTTGCAGTAATTCTCAAAGATTCAATCACCGGCTCTTATCAGCATCACCCAGCCGGCTCTTATCAGAATCACCCAGCTTGAATTGTTTGAATGGAGTCTGTCGGTGTCGTCCTGCAGATTTAGATGTGTCACGGGACGACAAACGGGACGCAGAGATGTGCATGAACATTTTTTTTTTTTATTATTTTATTTGAGTATTTAGGAGATGCTTTTATCTAAAGTGACTTACAAATACACTAAAATCTAGAATTATATATATATACTGTATATATATATACTGTAAAATATTATATTATATATTATATTAATATTATATTATATTATATATTTGTATTTTATTATATATTTTATTTTATAAGCCTGATGTAATATTTAAATTAATTTTGTGAATTTCTTTCTGTCATGTAATGTAAAAGCCTGCAGTGCTGAAATCAGCACCAGTCGTTAAAAATCCCATCAGTCGAGTACTGGTTTATAGCTGAT